AATAATAATAAATGCATTAGTCTTTTAAACCCACTAGGTTAACCAAAGTATCTTACGATTGGTGAAATACGGTAAAACATATGAGACACAAGGAATGTAACAAATAAAAGAAGAAGAAATAGTAGAATAAAGTGAGAAAATAAAAATATGTCGCTCTGCTGAGTATTAACAACCACGTTGAACTTATTTGTGTTGAGTGTTGATTTAAAGAGGGCCCAGGTCAAAGGTCAGTTTTATTTCAGGCATGTCTGAAAATGGTTCGAAATCCCAAAAAGTCAATGGGAGAGAGAGAGGGAGAGAGAGAGAGAAATACCTAGTGACCAGAAGAGGGCAGCACACACTTTATCACTCATTTAAAATGCTTTAAATGACAGAATTAATTAAATCCAGAATGAGTAGATTAGAGTTCAAATCAGTTTTGCTGTCTTTAATTAGAAAACACTTCAAAGAGTCTTTTACTTCCATTGTTCCTGCTTTCCTCTCATCACATCCTTTTTTCCCTCCTTTTTCCACTGTATACCCATTAAGAATAAAATAAAATAATGTAACAGAGAAACATGAATTCAATGTATGTATGTTAAAAAAAATGTACATTCCTCCAGTACTTTATTATGTCTGTATTTATTCTAAATCATTGCTACTATAAAGTTAAAGGATGTACTTAAAAGCCATAGAACAGTTGAAGGTAAATTTTACAAAGTACTTTAGCAGAACCTGAGCGGATCAGAGAACATGTGGGCGTTTTTATAGTGCAGCTGGAGATTTTAGCAGAGCTTGTGATTAGATCGACTCAGGAAGTGGAGCGTTAGCTACAGGAAATGAGCTTTTGATGTGCGGCCCGGTCACTGTCCAGTTCGCCCATCGCTGTTTCGCTTCAGAGAGGGAAAGAAATGGAAGGTGTTGCTTACAGCTTTTCTTAAAAATTACTTTTGCGCCCTCCGTCTCAGACTGAATGAGCAAAAGATAAAAAGTGCTCAAAAATGCCTTCATATTTGTGATCAAATAACAGAAGAAAGAGTTTAGAAGCTGACAGATATAAAAATTTTTACAAACAAAAGACGCACGGCAATGATCAGAATGTCACTTCAGGAATATTTTAGGAAACAAGCAGATTATCATTTTAGTGCTATCTCTCTGAGGATTCAGGCTTTTTTCACTCCCAACTTGATCAAGAGGTCAAACCTGTTTCTGTCCACCAGGAGGCATTAGAGCGTAAATGTTACTTCAGACCAGACACGGTTTATTCCTCTGCTGCCGTCACAAATTGTGCACATATATATATTATGTTTGTTAAACGGCGAACGCAGGTGGAGTTCCTGTCTTTGCGTGGGACACTTATTTAATGACATGACTGATTTCAGATCCAGAGGTATTTCTTGCTCTGTACTGGGAGATTCGTGTACATTAATGTGTAGAAAAAACCCCCTGCAAACCTTTGTTTTGGACAGAACAGATGCAAAATCTCGTTCACAGTAGCCAATAACTGTTAATTTAAGATCTATTTTTCATCCAAGTATTTGTTTCTGGAGAATACCAGCTGTTTTTTGTTCATTTCCAGAACATTTGAAAGGGGCGGGGGGAATCATATAGGAAACTCTTGTTTTGGCCCATAAAAACTGAGTTGTCGTCATGTATAGTGGCAGTTATCTTCAGTTTCCTCAGAATATTTGTTTTCATTTCTGATTGGACACGTCAATATTACATTTCCCGAATGAAAATAATCCCAAAATGAAGGAATTGGTGATTATGAAAAGCATTGATTTTTGGTGTGAAACAATTGAAGAAGCACATCATTCCAGCTGTCAAGTCTGGTGGAGGATCTGTGATGCTGTGGGCTCCTTTCTTTGTTTTCTGAATGCATTCAGAGACTTTGAAATCGATAAATTATGAGGAGATTTTTCATAAAAATCTCTCTGGAGTGCTGCCTTGATTCTTTCATGCATGTTTGAGGAACCCTTTAATCTCCATGGCAACCATTCAGCCGTTCAGAACGCCTGGGTGGGCCTAGCCCCGCCTTCAAGGTGCAGCTCCTCCTCAGAACTGCTGCTTCCAGGCCTTGGAGCTTCCGCCTTGCGGCGTTCCACGTAATTTTCCGTGTTTCTTGTCTTCCATCTCTTGTCATCATGTGATCAATAGTAAGTGGGGTTTCACATGTTCCACAGTTCGGCTCCCTTCACTTTCAGTGAGTCTGTAGCTGTTTTACTGCCTCAAATTACACATCTTGCACCAGACTTCATCAAAACTTTTATTTCTCACAGTGAATGGGATGAATGCTGGACCGCCCGCTGATTGCCTCGTGTGCGTCTGAAGAGGGCGCAGTATGAAGGCATCCTCACTGAGCGCATCAGTCACACATTTTCCCCCATTCGAGCTGATAAATCTGCCAAACACACCCCGGCTGAGGCTCTGCCTGCAGCTCCCGCCTGCAGGAAATGACTTGATGATCAAGTTGTTGAATGTGACACCAGGCTGACGGGTCTAACTGTGGCATTACACGTTTGCTCCAGCTGTATTATTTCTGAAGCGAACCTTTTTAAGGTCCTCGTGTTTTTTGAGCGACTTCAGAGAACCCGAGGAGACGAATCGATGGAGAAATACGAGGAGTCGGTCTCCTCCTTCCTCCTTTCCACTCCTTCTAGGGATTACAGTGAGGCTGCTCTCCCTGGCTTCATTATCCACTGAGGGATGGAGCTTTGGAACGCTCAGAGTCAGGGTTATGTGTGTGTAATAAAAAAAAAGAAGAAAAAATTCCTGTAGTGTAAGTGTGTGTGAGACTGAGATAATTTACTGCGTGTGTGTGTGTGTGTGTGTGTGTGTGTGCGTGTGTGTGTGTGTGTGTGTGTGTGTGCGTGCGTGTGTGTGTGTTTAGATGGAGTTTTCTTGCATATTTGTGTGTGTGTTCATCCTCCGGGCAGCTAAAGTGTTTACAAGGAGGATGAGATAATGAAGATGCAGGGAGTTGGCTGCAGCTTATTGGGAGCGGGGGGAATTATGAGGGGCTCCCAGCAGGAGAGGAAACTATGAGGGGAAATAAAATTCCAAAACAGAATCAAATAAAAGAAACGATTTTTAAGCTCAGAGTGTGACAGTGAGTTTGGAAAATGATGGGAGGGGAAAAAAAGAGACGAAAACCAGGAGCAGTTAAACTGAGCGGATAATAAAACTAATAAAGTGGCGTGAAGAGAGAAGAAAGTAAAAACCACTTAATAATAAATGAATAAAATGTGATATTTATGTGCAAGAGAAAACAAATAACATATTTGTTTCATGCAGATGAGCCAAGCAAAAGTGAAACAGAGTCTGCTTTATAGCAGTGTGACAAACTTCAGCCCCATGCAGCGCCGGTCTGTCCCCCTGCAGTGCATTCGTTTATCAGCTGAGGTCACTGATGAATCGACTCCAACCAGAACAGAGTAAACAGACTCATGATTCACACAAACGTCCTTTTATAGTCCTGTCCGCCTGCGGTGCAGCTGTCGCTTCATGTGTGTGTTGTTTGTTTTCCGTTACTTTTTAAAGCGTTTTGAGTTTCTACCGGGTTGAAATTCAATGGCTGTTTTGAAACTTTATTATTGTTGAGGTTCGTATTTGTCCTTTTGATTGGTTTTACGCAGTTTCCTCTCCTGCCATCTGTACTTTAAATGAAGCTTAAAATGCGTCTGAACATAAAAAAATAAGTGAGTCACACAAAATCTTACAAATTTTTTTTGGTCAAAAATTCCTTAACATTGATGAAAACTTTCTAGTACCACTGGCAGATTGTTTCACTTATAACAAGACATTGCTCCAATATTACGAGTGAAATAATCTGCTGGCTTTTTCATCAATAGTGACTTAAAACAAGCTCCTATTTCTTTCAAGCTAGTTTTGTCTTATTTCAAGTGTACTGAGAACTGGACCAAAAATAATAATAATAATTTCTTTTTTATTTTTCCATAAACACATAACGCCTATGAGTGCATCTGAAAAACGAGACATTGGTTACTGTAATTATTTAGGGAATCAGCTGAATAACCCTCTTGCTGCCACCATGTCAAGCAGTGACTCATTCTTCGGTGCAGATTAGCTCCAGTGCTGTCAAATTGCATGTGGTGCATCTATAATTGTACAATTTCATGTCTTGACACATATTCTTAAATAAATTTAGGTCTGGATGTAGCCTTGACACATGAATTCACTTTGATCTTGTAGCTCTTTCTGTATTTTTAGGGTCATTTTCTTGCTGGAAGTTTTTTTTCCCCCTCCCTGTGTTATCAAGTATTTAGCTTCATTCGTCTCCCCACCAACTTTGATCAATAATAACAAATTTTCCCTCGGTGATTTAAAAGGATAGAAAGTGTTGAATCAATCTGAAATAGTCTGTTATAGAAACAGAAGTTCTCCAGGGAATTCCCTCAGTGGGTAATTTTGCCTTGAGTTAAGGTGGATTTGAAATTGCAAGCACATGCTAACTTTAGCGGTGTTAGTGGCTAGCAGTTATCCAGTCACTATCTCGTCTGTCATTTTCTCACTTTTGTTCTTTATTCAAATATATAATTTTGTGACAGCAAAGGTTTTAGACTGGTAGAGGCTTCTTTAATGTTATTTATTTGTCAGGGAGCCTACACAAGTAGTTTTTAACAGAAAAATTTGTCAACATAACAAGCTAACAGCTCATTAGTTAGCTAACAAGACTTGTGTCTTCATATTTAACAGAGGAGCAATTCTGAAGCACTCACATTAATATTCAGGGACTTTTAATAACAGCTTAGACTTTTTAAATCTGGTGTAACAGAAACTAGATGATGCTTTGTGATACAGACTTCACTTTGATGAGAAATAGTGTCATTTTAGTGCAAAATGATTCTTGTGCACTGTGATGTTGTTACACTCTGACTGGTAATTCATGGAATAAAATAAAGAGAATAGATTAAATTCATCATACTTAGAAAATTGGGTTTCAGAAATGTATTTACTTTTAATTCAGAGCTCCAAATGTGAGAACCTGTTGCCAGAACACATCACATGAAGTAACAATTCACCTTAACAGGAATCAGCACAGACTGACTAGTTACACGGTTCATTAAGGATATTCAATTTCTGTCTGATATTGTTTTAAATGTGCAATCTAAAAATCTTTAAGACCAAATGTATTCAAATCAGACTAAAATCACATTCCGTATTTAGACAGAATCTGGAAAGTTGAGACAAGAACAAATGTAGAACATAGCAAAATAACTCCATGATTCAATTACAGCTACTGTCCTATTTTAAGTGAGGCAGAGCTCCTTGAACCATGACCTGGATTAAAGAACGGATAAAGTCTCTCAGTGAAGATGCAGTCAGTGAAAGAAAAGATGAGTTCCGCGATGCCGACGTCGTAAAATGAGACTAAACCCTCTTCATAGTCCACAAACAGTCCGATTCTCTGAGGACGGTGGGTGAGACTGAGAGGGATTTCGTGGCTGGCTCTTGCTTTGTACTCATTCTCCTTCCTTAGACTCAGTATCCAGTGGCCGCTCTCCTGACTGTTTGTGATTTTTTTCTTCCTATTGATCGACTCGTAGACCACTCCTAAATCGTATTTCATCATGTCCGTCACCTGAACCTCAAAGTAGAACCTCCCGAAACCAAAACTCTGTTGTGCCACGACTCCCCCTCCTGGATTAAACCTCTTTGGCAAATCCGGAACAGATTTCTTAAAATCACCCAGACGGACTTGTTTGCCGTCGTCAGATACGATGAGCCATGGATCTGCTGTTTGTGGATCCAGAGTTAAATTAACCTTGAACTTCTGCACCCTCTTCAGCTCTGCCTCCTTCAGCTTAGCCTTTTCTTTCTTGAAGGTAGCCTGCAATTGATCCACAGCTTCCACCATTGCTTTCCTTACCATCTCTTCATATAGAGGGATTTGGACACTGACGTCCGACCAGTCCTTCATGGCTGGGATGTTATTGACGGATGAAAAACTTCTCAAAACATGAGCGTGATCGGCAGACGATGAGAGCACTTGAACATCGGCGCTACTCTGCATCAGTACCTTCACTTCCTGCCCCAGCTCTGCGATAAGTCTTTCAGTTAGCCTCTCTGCCGTGACTTGCTTTATTTCAATATTCTTGAGAAGTTCATCCAAACCAGTTTGAAGATTTTGCTTCAGATCTGTGAAGACCTGAAGACCGACTGCCGCCTTACCGTCTGCAGCTTCTTGGTTCAGCCTTGATGTGTGCCTGAGGTCCTGCATCTTTCCTCGTCTCTCTTGAATCATCCGGTTTAATGTTTCCTCTGTCCCTCTTAGCACAGATCTCTTTTGTTCAGCCTCCTCACTCAGAGGAAGGTAGTCGTGCTCCTTGTGATCTAGGAGGGTGCATAACATGCAGGTGAATGTCTGGTCTGTCCTACAGAACAGCTCCAGTGGCTTGTTGTGGTATGAGCACATCCTGGCCTCTAGGTTCTCCACCGGGTCGAGCAGCTGGTGCTTCTTCAGGCCTTTTGTCATCAAGTGAGGCTTCAGGTGTGTTTCGCAGTAAGATGCAAGACACACAAGGCAGGACTTGACTGCCTTCAATTTCAGTCCCGTGCATTCGTCGCAGGATATGTCTCCCAAAGTGGCAACCTTTTGTTGCGACTGAGTGCTGTTGACATTGACATCAACGGCACAGGTAAGGCCGCTAGTGATATTGGTGGCAGCCAAGCTTATGTTGCTGTTGCTACTGTTGCCTGTCCCACTGTTGCTACTAGAGGTGTTGCTCTCGATGACGCTGCTGGATCTGCCGAGGGTGTTGCTAGGTTTGCTGTGAAAATTGCTTTCGCTGTTGGTGTTGGTGTAGCGTATTCTGGGTTTAGGTGTTGGAATGCTGTCGTTGCTACTGTTGTTACTCCAGGTGTTCCTTCTGAGGAGGTCGCTGCTGATATTGCCGTTGGATCTGCTGAGGATGTTGTTAAGTTTGCTGGCGAAATTGCTTTCACTGATAATGTTGCTACTGCCGTGCGCCCGAGTGTTGCTCGTATAAGGGCTGCTGTCGGTCTCGCTTTTGTTGATGCTGCAGGGCTCCTTTGCTTTGTACTTTTTGAGGCAAGCTGCCATCTTAGAGAGGTCTTGATTGGGTTGAAGCTGAGGACGTTTATCAAATTCCTCTTTGCATATTGGACACCGACAGTGGACACTATGATCCCATTCTCTTAGGATACACGTTTTGCACAAGTTGTCGCCGCAAGGCAGCGTTACAGGAAAAGTAAAGATGTTCTTGCAAATTTGGCACCGAAGCTGGTCCTCAGGTGGCAGACCGCTGGCGGCCATGTTGGCTCACTGGCAACAAATTAGAGGGACATGTACTTAATGAACTATTTGTCTAAAAGCTATTAACCACAAAATAATTTAGTCAGTGAATTTCTCATCTTTTTCCCCTGATTTTAAAAATGAAAACTAACTAACTAATCAGTAGATCACATCAGCCCCGTCGGTATCCATTAATCGGCTACATTGATAAACAGTTTATTAGCACTTCTTGCAGCTTGTAGCTCATTAAATATTTCACGTGTACACAGCCCTGAATGTGTGGCTGTATAGGCACTCGTTGCAGAGAAATACATTGGCATTTGGTCGTATTGCTAACAGCAGCTATTGAGCAAATCAATTAGCAATCCCAGGAAAATGGAATATAACATTAGGCACTTTCCTGTTTCATTCTTGGCATTCTGAAAATCTCTCTCATTTAAAACCTTCTGATGAAGCAAATGCCACTGTAACAGAACCTCTAGTTGTTCGCTTGTTTTAGCTCAATACTACAGTTAGTTTGGTAATCGATTTGTTATATCAATATAATTCCCATATTTCTGAATACTGCTAAAGGCAGCAACACAACAGGATGTTACAGTACAGACAATAGTCTGAAACACATTTAACTGTTGCTTTGCTTTTATTATAAGGTAATACTTTTTGTATTGAATTCAACAGGATTGAGTTTCATCTCAATATAGAGCGCTGGAAAAAAATCAAGAGATCACTTAAAATCATCAGTTTCTCTGATTTTACTTTTTATGTTTGAGTAAAATGAACTTTGTTCTTTTATTCTATGAACTACTGACAACATGTCTGTGAAATTCCAAGCAGAAATTTAGTATTTATTTGCAGAAAATGAGAAACTGTCAAAAAAACGAAAACGATTCAGTGCTTTCAGACCTCAGACAATGTTCATTTAGAAACACCAAAACTAATGTTTTAACTCAGGAAGAGTTCAGAAGTCAGTATTTGGTGGAATAATCAGGATCTTAATTTTTTTCCAGAGGCTTCTCATTTACTTTGACATCGGAATACCAAATAATCCAATCGCGCACTGTAAAGATATCAGGTTTTTTGTGTGTGAGAGACTCACCTGTGTGCTGCAGAGGGAACCTTTAATGAAGTCTTCAGTGAGTTTTTGGGTCTTTCTGACAGTTTTCCTTCTTATTTTTCTTCACAGTCTGCAATGTCGTGCAAAGTTCAAACCTGATGGCAAATGGAAAGTCACCTGCTCTCCTGTGATTTCCTTATTGTTTTATTGTGACAGTTATTCGATAACCAAGAACTGGTGACATGTTGCTGCCCGCTCACTGTTACACAGTTAGTCATTACGTGCTGCCAGTGTTTACTACTTCAGAATAGTTTGATGAAACCTATAACTGTACCATTGCCCCATGATGGATAATAAAAAAAAATATAGCATTCAATAAAGAAACAAACAAACAAAAAAACATGGTTGTAATGAGTTTTGTGTTGTCTTTTCAGTCTGGTCAGAAGTGTAAATATCTGCCCTCTTTGGGTCAGAAAAACAAACAAATAGGCAAACAGGAAGGCAGAGAAGCGGTCATAAAACTGAAAGGGACCAATCAGGATGGAGCAAGCATGAACTGGTAACTCAGTGTTGCCCAGGGAGCGATGTCTGTAGAAACCATTGTTCTCTTAAAGCATGAGGGCCTTCAGTGGGGGGCTCCCAGTGATGGTGAACTCATCCCAGTACAGCTCTAAATAATTTAAGTTTTAATTTCAGTTTTACATCAGTTCAGCTATAAGACGCACACAGGAGGACTTTAACAACATATGTGCTGCTGAGTGAGCTTTGGTGACTTATTTCACCAAAGCTTTCTGTGAAATAAGTCCAGGGCTGACATGATGAGGAAATATTCCAGGATTTACATTTACTGAGCGATCACTGTCCTCTGGCATCTGGGTGTCATTTATGTTTGTCTTCTATTATTGCTCAACTGGTCTTGCCGTATATGTTCGTTCCTTTGGATTTAGTTTATTCTTGTAGAATAAAATATAACAAAATATTTACTTTTTTTTACTTCTTTGCAGATACACAGGAGAAAAAAACTGTGTGATGCACTCCACTCACAGTCCTTTGCTTGCGTGTCAGTTTCAGCCTACAATTACAAATTTTAACCATTTTTAACTATTTTGTCAATATTCTGTGAGTCACAAATTTGGAGCTAGCTAGGATATGTTAGCAGCTAGTTAGCGATAGCCTCAACTGCCTCAAGTCTCAACATGTTTGCCACAAGAAAAATAAACTGCATAAAATATTCAATATTAAATAGTCCCTACCCCACAAAGTTTAAGACCTGTGATTCAAATATTTAAGGCCAACTTAATTTTTTTTAATGAAGTCTTCATTTCAGACAATTTCAGACTTTTCAAGATGTTTTAAGGATGCACAAGACACCATGGTCCAAATTAAGCTATATGAATTTTACAGCTAAAGAAATCACAGCAGAAATCTAAAAAAATAAAAAATCTTCCTTAGTGCTATTTATTCACAAAGTGATCTGATGGACTCATGTTATCGTGAGAAATCTCACGATAAATCAGCAGAGGTAACAACTGAACTGCCAACACATTCTCTTTGTAGCTTTTTCTTTCAGTTTTCTGCATAATTAATGTGGATGAAACATTAAGGAAAATACTTGCCAGGAGAAGGTAATTTTCATGATGCTAAAGAGGTTTTGATGTCTTTTTTTATTTCGCATTAGAACACAAAGCCTTCCTGCTTTCACTTGAAGCTCAGTTTGCAATGAGTATAAATAATTTAAATGCTTTTTTTTTAGTGGGTAGTGGATATTTGTTTTTTTCCTCCATGTGTAATTCCTCTGGTAGTTTGGTCTTCACGGGTTTTGTGTCACACTGAGCTTTATTTGTGGTTGTGTGAAGCCTCTGCTAGTCTTGTGATTGTGCTGACTGCAGGGTTAGCTTCTGATAAAAGTAACACGCTGAGCTTATAATTACACTGTCATGTATAGCATACTGGTTTCCCAAGACGCCCCTATCCTCTCTTTATTTTTTTTATTTTTTAGGGGGTTTTAGGGAGTTCTGTAAAGTATTTTGTATTTAAGTGTAGATTTGTGTCTCATCACGGCGCTTCGGAGCCTCTAAAAGGGATCAGAGCCAATTTCACAGCTTAAGGATTTGTTTCATCCCTCACCCAACTCGTTTTTAAACCAATAGAAACCTCCACCAAGGCAGAAAATAGTTCTCCGACTTGTGGTAACGTTTATCTGTGAGAAACCACTACGCTTACGCACACGAACAGATGTGATCATTTCTCTCTATTCCCATCAGCTTAGACATTTTCTGGACCAAGACAACAGCTCAGTTGGGGCTCATCAATTCCCGTCTTTGTCGTTATTTTTCAGGCCTGATTTTTCTGAGCCTGCTTGTAGTTTACTATGTCAGTAGTGGTTCAAACTCTATTTTAAACATGTGTGCCATGGGGTTTAATTGATTTATAGCTGTGCATTTTTGCAAATTCTTGAAGTGACAGATGCAGAGAAATAATGGGAATTTATTGGTTTTGTTGGCTATTAATTGTCTTAGATTCTAAGGCAAGGGGATGCTTTGTTACCATAGCTACCAGGATAGATAGATAGCTATCTTACCAGTTAGCTAAGATAGTTAGTTATGTCAGCTAACTGAGATAGCAGTTAGCTATCTCTGTTAGAGATAGCTAACTATCTCTAACTGAGAAAGTTAGTTAGCTATCATAGCTACCTTAGTTAGCTAAGATAATTAGCGAGCTAAATAGATAAGTAAGATCTTGTGTGATCTTACTAAGCTAACTAACTATCCTATACCAATTAGAATAGTTAGCTATCCTAGCTAACTGGTAGGATAATTAGATAAGATAAGATAGCTTGGCAGCTAGCTAGCCAAATAGGTTAGCTATTTAGTGTGACGTCAAAACAGTGATTTTCCTATGAAGGAAAATCACTGTTTTCCTTCATAGGAAAACAGTCCCAAGTTTTCCTGCTTCATAGGTCACTGCAATGCATCATTAAACACCTATTGCTTAGCTATCTTGTGGATATTTAATCTTCTCTGGTATATAAACTTCAATATCTAGACTCTTCAAACCTGAACTAAGTTACTCTACACTCGACACAGAACATTTGAGACCAAATATTTGCGAGTCGCTCTTCAGCCCTGTCCTGAGAGCTACAATCCTAGTCTTACATAAATAAACACAAACAAAATTAATAACACTTATCGTACATTAGCAGCACATTTTAGTAGAGAAATTCTGAAACAACATGAACATTTGAACTCTGTTCCCCCAATAATCTATTCTGCATGAGCTGTTTTTCCCCCTCTCTTTCAGCTTCTAGGGTCCAGTTTAGCACATGTTGTCCCTGGTTGCTTGCCACCGTGCGTCCAGTGGTATTGGGTTATCTGCTCTCCGGGGATTCAGCTGATTTTCTCTGGTCTGGAGGAATGTATGAGAATAGTGGCAAAGTGAGCAGCAGATCAAACCAAACTCCAAGTGCCTGAAGAGTTTGAGATTGAGACGTAGCAGGTTCTCAGCCGGAATGCTAATATTAAACAGGATATTAATATTTAGTGCATACACCACAAACCCCCTCTGAGATCTTTAATGTGTGGAGAGATTAAATGATCAGGGATAACCTGAGAGGAACAATCAGTGCACAGTCTTTCCTGAATATATTTATGTACTTCACTTATTAAAGGTAGTGAGCTTGTATTCATGTATTCTTAGGAAAATATTTATTCAGTCGTAAACAAAAAAACCACTGAGCTCTTGGACGTTTTTCCTAAGAGCTGACAGAGGATGTGAGGATTTGGGAATATTTTCATTTGGAAAACAGGTTTATTCAATTTCTGCGTTTTAGTCACAGTTAAAAGTCTCGCCTCACCAGTGAAACCAGGAAAAGTGTAAATACAGAATGAAGACTTCAACCAGACCCTTTCCACTGCTAAAATGCACATTTTTAAAATATATCTTTTGCAAAATAAATGAAAAACTTTCTATTTAGGAAGTAAAAACAATGGAAGTA